GGCCGACCAATGGGCGCCCGGAGTTGCGGCCGGCAGCGGCGGCGGCGCCGGCGGGGCCAACCCGCACAAACCCGGCGGCCGATAGCTGAGGCTCCCGCGGAAGACTGACGCTCGCTCAGCTCTTCAGACGTTTTGAAAATGAATTTTATTGAGTTTGTTTCACAAAGTTCACCCGTTTAGGGTATACAATTCTGTGATTTTTAGTAAAGTTACAGAGTGGTTGTGCAACCATCATCACGATCCACTTTTAGGATATTTCCGTCAACCCGAAAAGGATTCCACTCGCTCAGCGCCGTCACTCCCCAGCTCCGGGCAACCTCGAACAACCTCGTCTCGTAGATCTGCCTATCAGGACATTTCACACCGACGGAATCACACCGCAGCGTGTGTTTGCGGCTGGCTCCCGCCGCGGGCCTTCTCTCGGGTCCCGTCCCCGGTGCAGACCAGACAGCGGGGTCGGGCGCCGACACTGTCGCCCCGGGGCCACGTTTGCCTCCGCAGATCCTCCACACGACAGCTCCAGTCACCTGACACGGGACGCAAATCTCTCGTAGCCCACTTCAGATCTTCTGGTTTCTCCCCCTGCTTTCCCAGTAAAATCCAAACTTCTTACCATGGCCAGCAGGACCCCACAGGCCCTGACCCCCCCTTCCCCCAAGCCTTCATCTCCATCGCCTGCCCTGGACTCCCTTTGCTCCAGCCGCACCTGCCTTCTTTATCTTCCCAGGTCGGGGTGCTTGAACTTGGCGATTCCTCCCTCTGCCCAGAACACCCCTCTCCTAGACCTTCTCAAAGCTGGCTCCTTGGGGTCTCAGCTCAAATGTCCCTGCCTCTGAGGCCGTCTCAGGCCCCTAGCTAAGGTAATCTCCCACCCCACCCCCGTTTTATTTCCTTCATCACGCCTACCACTGTCTGAAATTATCTTGTCTGTATTTACTGCCAATTCTCCCCCACTAGAATGTAAGCACCACTAGACAAAGGACATTGACTTGGTATCTCCAGGGCCCAGCATGTAGTAGCCACTCAATAAATAGTCCTCAAATGCATACATAAATGTATAAACTTAGAAAAGTTAAAACCATATAGCAGGTCCCTCAGATCCCATTCCTCTGCCAAAGTGAGCTTTTCCCCTCTTAACTACAAGTCATCCTAACAAAGCCCACAAAATCAGGCTCAATTTCCTGTCATTTGAAAATTTTAATTTTCCAGAGCTAGTTATATTAACTGCCCTAGAAAGACTTTCTGAATCACTACAATTAACTGATCAGTGGGTATTTCCTTTTCTTTGACAAAGGACAATTGTTTTACTCCTCCTATAGGGTGTAATCACTTGGACCATAGAGATCCAAATCAAAGAAAAAGAGAAGCAGAAGGGGAGGAATCCAGTATTTCTCAATGCAGTACATAGAGAGGTAATTGAGGGAGAAACTTCTTTATGTCGTTAGTTACATGTTTAATATGAATCAGTAAAAAATGGAACTGGGCTTACAGATTTGCACTGGAAAATGCAACAACACATTGGATGTGTCCGGGAAGTCAGGAGGCCCCAGGAATTCCATCAGAGTGTGAAAGGGAAGACAGTCACTTTTCAAAATTAGGTTTACTGACCGTGTCCAAATCCATCTGAAACATGACTAAATATGTCTGGGGCACAGAGAAAATGCAGAGATTTGCCATGTGGCCAAGATTGGGCTATGGTTGAAGACATCCATTCCCTCCAAACCCCCGGCATCATGCTGTGTGTCCCCTCGTAAGGAGCCACAGGAGGATTTTCTCTCAAGCCTCAACTAGGAAAAACTATCCTTCACTGAAAATCGGCTTATTTTAAATCCATGGGTCTATGATTCCTGTACCTAATCATACTTTTGCTGACCTCCCCTCCTGGTTTTGTTTTACTCTCCTCCCAATATAACTTGCCCTCCCTCAGCCTCCACATCTTCCCTCATCAATTTATTTTGTGTATATATACAAAATAATACATACACTTCATAGTATACACATTTTTAAGGCTTTAAGAATTTTTAATTCTTTCTTTGGAATAGAGGAAATTAACCAAACAATTCATCAGAAATATATACAAATTTGGAGAAAATACTAACTTTCTAAGAATAACATACGTACCCCGAAACTCCTGTGACTTTAGTAACTTGTGGTACACAAAAGCTTCTAATTACATTTATTTACACAGTTGACCCTCTTGTGCATTTTGCTCAGTCTCATCCAACGATGAAAATGTCTATTCTGAATTGCTCTGCACATCCAGATAGTTACATATGTGAATTAAATTCACAGTGCACTTAATTAAAAAAAATTTTACAAAAATAAAGCACTGCATTTATTACAATTTTACAGAGAGGCACACAGGAGTACGACAAGTCCCTGAAGCAAAAGTCTGTGGTCTGTGAGAAGTCAGGTGGTAGATGAATTTCAAGCTTTGCATGTTCTGGTCCAGGGGTTACTGAGGAATGCAGCTAATATCAAGAAGGATACCAACAGTAAGCCCTTGGCCACGCACTGAGAATAAGGCTCCCCTGCAAGAAAATGAACCAAATGAAGCACAATTCTTATTTCTTAACTATTTTGGTAATTAGGTAGAAATAAACCAAAACAGTAATAGTGATCACTCCTAAGTGGCAACCTTATTAGTAAATCATTTAAAACTCTTTCTATGTGTTTTAAGTTTTCTGTGACACATATTTTTTAAAAATATTTTAATTGGCAAAACATAATGATAACCCTTCCAGAAATCTGCTTTACCCTACCTTGATAATACCGGGTCAATGGATACAGAAGTTGCGGCCAACACACCTCATTTCTGTTACAGTCATACTCCGTAAAATTGATCTGGAATCTAGGAAACATTTTAGAAGATTACAATAGGCACAACAAAGCACGCTTTTGATGAAATGTGTCAAACTTGATTAAAGAAATAAACTTCTTCTTTTCAAGTATCTGTTTTTCTGCCTCCTAATAATGGTAACTAGGTTATCAACTGGATTACCTTGTCAGTGGACGGGGTAACCGTGCAGGTATCTTAATAAACTGGACAGATGCACTGACAGGGAAAAGATTGGCCTTATCCTCACAAGTAAGCCCACACTGGAATTGCCAGTTCACCGTAGAGAACCTGGGAGGAAAAGATTATGCAGGTAACACATCCACCATTCATTTCTAGTCTGTTAAGAGCATGAGGGAACCAACAGCAACAATATAAACTGGGATTCTCTTAAAGAAGCTTCAAATTCTACTAGTGCTTTTTCCCCCTTTGAACGATGTAAACTTTCCAACATATGCACAGGGAGAGAGAGTAGCATGGCGAACCTCACAGGCCGATCACCCTGCTACAAAAACAAACAATATAATAAGAAGAACAGCAACAACTAGCCATCTTGGAGGGTTTTCCAGGTGCCGGGCAGAGTACGAAGGTGCTCTATACACATCATGTACGCACACACCACATCACTCTCAGAAGAGGGCTACCAGCCGTTTGGTGGTTAACGTCTGTTGTTTCTGCCTATCCAGCACCCCGTCCCCTTTTTCTGGCAACTGCACCCCAGCCTCCCCTTGGGGAAACCCCTCCTCACAGTATTCCCTACTCAGTATGCATGGATTATTATATTCCCCCCCCAGATTTCATCTTTGTACCCCGAGAGACCATGCAGAATCCCTTACACACAGCTTTATAAATACTTGTGAGAACAAGTTACCATTATACACATAGTTGATAACATATTTCATTTATACACATAATCATGTTGCTAATAACTACAATTCATAAATAATCAGATTGCACATTAGCATTTCCCTATTCTTTGGAGCACCAGCAACTTTACTGACTCTCTCTAAATTACACTTACCCAAGATGCAATCATACCTTGTCTCTATGCCAAGTATCTCCTGCTGAGTAATCCCTTCCACTGCACCAGCATCTGAGATGAGGATGCGGATATGCAGTCGGGCAGGAATATCCACGCAGATGCCGTTCACACTGACGGGAGGGTCTGCACCTGTATCAGGGGCATCTGCACCTATAGAAATATCAAGTTAGGGACGCCTGGGTGGCTCAGTCGGCTAAGCGTCTGCCTTCAGCTCAGGTCATGATCCCAAGGTCCTGGGATCGAGTCCCGCATTGGGCTCCCCGCTCAGCGGGAAGCCTGCTTCTCCCTCTGCCTCTGTCGCTCTCCCTGCTTGTGCTGTCTCTTTCTCTCTGACAAATAAATAAAATCTTTAAAAAAAAAAAAAAAGAAATATCAAGTTGTGCGTTTTGGAAAGAATAATAGCAGTTTTCCTACAGTGCCATGATACGGGAAAGAAATGGGAAATGTTTTGAGATAGGAATCACATGAAGGCATCTCTCGTCTCTAACAGGCTCTCGGTATCGTCACTCCGTGCCTGTGCTAGCCCTTGTGTTCAAAACGTCTCCTGGTCTGTTCAGTCACCGGAACTTTAAAATCCCAGACCCATATAATAAAACCAGACATCCTGATTCAGTTCCCAAGCTCCAAGCTCCCCCAGAGTTTTAGCAGAAATACCAACCAACTGCAGTAAAATACCATGAGACTGAGTCCATGCTCTTGCTGCTCTAGTACAAGCCGTCTAAGACATTCACAATCCATGCGAACAACTGTAGTTAGGATGGATTAAACAGTGAAGAAGCAATAGAGTAACACAATGGAAGAGAATACAACTGAATAAGAAATGAATAACTACAGGAGGTGGGTGGCAAGTTGTGAGGGGACACTGGAGGGACTTGAAAGTTGGTGACAGTTTATGACTTCCAACTTCCTCCTCCTCAGTGCACACGTTCGACATCTCTTCTGTTTATCAACCAGGATCAGGGTTGATTTTGGCTTAGAGACAACATAGAAGCCAAGTGCCTTCACCATGAAGGTCGCAAAATGTCATCACCTCAGACTTATGTAACCACCTTGGGTTCTCTGTCTTGAAACCTCCCATTCTTTCTACTTCTCAGGTGCTTTACTGACTCCTTCCCTCCATCCGTCGGGCATGCCACAGCCCATCCAGCTGGCCTCGTGGCAAAGCCCAGGGGTTGATAAGCCCCAACCTCTGGATTCTGTCTCCAAATGAGGATCTAACTCTGGGCCTAGTGACTTAAGCGCGGGGCACAAGAGGATCAGTGAATCACAGCCTGAGAGCCCCATGGCCCCCAGGACCCCTCCCAAAGTCAGAGAGTGATATGGGGCGCTTCCGGCCCACAGACATATTACATGATCCCTCACCGCCCAAAGAGGGCTGGGGACCCGGGTGTCGTAATGATCCAAACCAAGTCACAAGGGGTGAGGAGAGCACAGGCACGTGTCTGGGTGGTCCTCTGTGTGAATTCCAGGCTGCTGAGCGTAAGTGACCGGAGGTGGTATGGAAAGCAGGATCCAAAAAGCTGCTTACCACCAGCCAGGCAGAGGGGAGGGGCACAGCAGGATCCTCAGTGATAGGAGGGGACTTAGGACAGCAGATGCTGCAGAGCCAATTCTTTCTGGCCCCAAAAGACAATGCCATTAATCAGAGCACTAGCAGAAGCTGTCCTGTTGGCACATTTCCACATTCAAGACTCCCCTGACTTGCCAGCCAGGGAGCCAGCAAAGAGGCTGGAAGCCTGGGTCTGGGGTCCAGCTCCGCCACGACCAACTGAACCCTCGAGCTTCTGCCCTGACGAGCTGAGTGAGCGGCAGCTCAGTGGCAGCCAGACGGACGTTTTAGATCTGAAGGTGACCCCAGGCCTGCTGTGGCAAGGAAGTGTGGCTCACGGCCACTGCCTGGGCCTCGCGCACCCCACCTCCTCGCGCTCGATCCCCGGCCAGCGCGACGCTGCAAATGCCTCCGCCCAAAGGCCCAGGACTCCAGCCTTTCTACCCGGCCTGGGTGGGGCCTGCTACCCTTATCTGCTACCCCTGCACTTCTTTCTGCTATAACCGCTGTCCTGAGAGACAATTCACACACCATACAATTCACCCAGTTAAAGTGTACAATTCAGTAGTTTTCAGTATATTCAGAGCTATGCAGCCATCACCAAATTCCATTTTTACTGCCCCAGAAAGAAACCCTGTATCCATCAGCGGTCACTCCTCACTTGCTCCCACCTGCGCCAGCCCCTGGCAACCACCCATCTGCTCTCTGTGGCGACAGATCCGCCTGATCTGGGCCTTTCATACACATGGCACCGTGCAGTTTGGGGTCATGTCTGTCTGGCTTCTTTCACTCAGCATCATCTTTTCAATCACCTTATTTTAAATTAACAACATTGCTTTTATAAATTACAAAGTCCGGTCTCGATTGCCTATATTCCTTGCAAACGAAAACAGCAAAGCAAATTGAAATGCACTGAAAATCTTCAATCTTCATTTAGATCTCCTTTTACAAAGGCTGTTAGCTCATAAAACAACTGGGCAATCTGAACTTCATGTGGATTTCCTCTTAAAAAAAAAAAAAAAGCACAAAAAAACCACAAAAGGCATCATGAAGAAGAGGTAAAGGATGTGAAGAGCCTGCTGCCCGGAGAGCTAACCTCTAAACAAACGTCAGTTGAGCCTCAGCGAAGGAGGAAGACCCATCCCGTGGGCTCCCACGCATGGCCAGCGCCGTGCACTCCTAGCAGCAAGTTACACGCAGCACACATTCGCAGCTGTGACTTACGGATTATTTCGAGCCAGTCGTCACTAGGATGGTTGTAATCAGAGTTGCCTCTCGTCGCAACATGAGTTGCTTGTATTAATGAGTCAAGCAGCTCGACAGCATTCTCCCTGCAAGAGAGTAAGACATTTCTCAGCACATGGCCAGTGGCTCTCATCCTGAAGTCCTTTCCAGGTTGTGCTTGCAGGGGGCCTAACTAAAATCTGCCAGAGGGAGTGGCATTAAAAGCTGGCTGGGCGTCTGCGTTCTCTTCCATGGCCCGTCCAGGATGGACCTGAGCCGCCAGGGGAAGACATACAGAAGCAGTCGTTTACTTTGGATTTTAAATGTTGGTATCATGTAGTTTACAGGCTCCACTGAGTGTCATAAAACTTGGGAGGTGCGTAGATCACATACCAAGTTACCAGGATAAATTTATAGGCCAGAAGGATCCGAGAGCAAAAGGAACCTAAATATTTTAGCTAGAATTTTGCGCTAGAAGATTAAGTGAAGATTAAAAATTGGAACTTAGCGGGCTTCTGGGTGACTCAGTTGTTGAGCATCTGACTCCTGATTTTGGCTCAGGTCGTGATCTCAGCATTGTGAGATCAAGCTCTGCGCTGTGTCCCACACTGCAGCCTGCGTGGGCTTCTCTCTCTCCTTCTCCCTCTCTTAGAAAAAAAAAAAAAAAACTGAAACTTAGCATCCCTCCTTTCTGGTGATGCCTTTGGCGGGTACAAATCTTTTTTTTTTTTTTAAAGATTTTACTTATTTATTTGAGACAGAGAGAATGAGAGAGAGAGAGCACATTAGAGGGGGGAGGGTCAGAGGGAGAAGCAGACTCCCCGCCGAGCAGGGAGCCCGATGCGGGACTCGATCCAGGGACTCCAGGATCATGACCTGAGC